TTGTATATCCTCTCTTCTTTAACTTGACAAATTACACTGATAAATTTCCTAATAGTGAGTTAACCTTGAAGTCTTGAGATAAACACTTCTTGGTCTTGAGACATTATTTTAATACATTTTTGGGTTAAATATGGCAATACTTGCTGTATTTGAAACAATTTATATACCTAGTATCATTTCCTTCCTCTCTTCCTTCCTCCACCATCTCATACCTCCTCCATAAATTCAGAAGTCATACTTTGGTTATTAGTGTCTGTTAGTTTTTATAAGTATTTTACTTGGTCAAATCATCTGCTATGTAAATGTCCAATATTGTTGGAGCATTTTGACACATACGACATGATTCCCTGAAAATCCTTCCATTTTGCTGTAAATGGCAACATTTCATCTTTCCTTATGGCTGAATACTCCATGGTGTGAATGTCCACATCTTCTAATCCATTCCTGTATCAATGGACACTTAGCTTTCATATTATTTTAGATAACGCTGTAATAAAGATTTAGAGCATATCATTTTTTTTTTAGTTGATGATTTCATGTTCTTCAAATAGATACCCAGTCATAGGATTGCTGGGTATCTGTTTCCATTTCCATTTTTCTTTTTTTAAAGGTAAATCCAGAACAGTTTCCATAATGACTACTCCAGTTTAAATTCCCATCAACATTGTAATAGAATTCTCCTTCAACCACATCCTCACAAGCACTTACTGCTGGTGTCTTTTTCTTTTTTTTAATAATACAATAGTTTATTTTTACATCATTTTGTGCATTTTCCCAACTCAGTTGTACTCCCCGCGGGCTTCCCATCACTAAATCACCCATGTGCCATCACCATTGTCCAGTGCATTTCCCTCCCCACACTGTTTTTGATCCCATTCCCCACTCCACCGCCATAAAATGTTTCTGATACATAGCTGTTCATTATTAATATTATTTTCTTTCCTGGTCCATTATACTCCTACTGCTGATGTCTTTTTAATGCGGGCCATTCTCACATGCATGAGATATTTCATTTGACCTGCATCTTCCTTATTAAAAGTGATGATGAATATTTCCATTGGATTTCTGGATATCCTCTTTGGTGAATTGTCTGCTCAAACTTGCTACCTACTTATTATAAATTGTGTTTTTTGGTATTTTCTATTGTTTAATTGGATAACTTTTGTATATATTGATCTTAAGTTGAATGTTAACTTTTGTCAGTTATTATTTTCTCCCATTGTGTAGAATGTCTTTTTTAATCTATTTATATTTTCTTTTGCTGTGAAAACTTTCGTCTACTCTCCCTGCCTCTGTGGCTTTTGTCCAGAGGTGAAAATTTTGACTTTAATCTGCCCTACTCACTCAACAATGCACATGGACAATGACGCTTGAACAAACTTTTAGCAGAAATTATTTTATAATTACCCTTCTCTTCTCCAAAGACTGTCTGATAAAAATAGGAGGGACTGGGGAAAATTCAAATATCTGCAGCCGCATAGGGTTCACTGACTTAGGAATTGTGTGGAGGTTGAACATGAAATCAGAATCAGAAGCAAAAGCATCACTTGGTGACAGTAAAAGTGTAAAGATTTACAGCAGCAATTATTATTGTAAAAAATGAAGTTGTTTCAAAAGGAAAACGTAAATGAGTTACATTACATTCCTACTAAGTAATACAATATAGCTATGAAGAAAAGTAACATGGAGCAATACTGTTAGGCCAAAAAAGCCACTAGGGCCTCCCTGCTGGAGCTGCGTGTTGGAGTGCGGCACTACACAGCTAAGCCTAGCCAGGCGGCTTCAAAGAGACTTTGAGCCCCGCCCGGGGGAGGTGACCCACATGGCGCCAAAGACCTCTCCTGCACCTCAAAGCATCAAAGACCTCTCCTGCACGTCTGCTGCTCCCCTCAGCAGTGTACTTGGTCAGCCGTCCTGTCCTGCTCTGTGTCTGGTGAATCCTCTCACCACACCTGCACCTCTGGCTGTACCCCATTTCTGTATGCATAAATAAATAAATAATATTTTTTTAAAAAAAAAGAGCCACTACTGAGAAATGTTTATAAAATGTATTTTGTAAAAATGAAAACTCTTCCAAATTTCTATAAATATGCGTACAGAGAAAACTGTAGTAAGAGGTCCACCAAATTGGCAGGTTTTTTTTTTTTTAAGATTTATTTATTTATTCATACAGAACTGGGGTACAGGCCAGAGATGGGATGGGTGAGAGGATTCACCAGAGATAGAGTGGGAAGCAGAACAGGCAGATGGATGAAGTACACTGCTGAGGGGAACAGCGGGCGGGTCAGGAGAGGTCTGCCTCGCCATGTGGACTCCTCCGGGGTAGGCGGGAATCGAACTCATGCGGAAGTGGCTTAGGCTTCGTAGTGCAGTGCTTTAACCCGCTGCGCCACCAGGGAGGGCCCGGCAGGTTTTTTTAATCTCACTGAATTCACTCATAAAAACGCAAGATTACACAGCAAAACCAAAATCCTGTCAGCAGCATTTCCAACAATCACAAATTAAGTGATAAAGTATCTCCCATGACCCCAAAAACAAATGGGTGAGGACAGACCACCAACAGCTAAGAGGTCTGTGGGGTGTCAGCAGCATTTGTGTGGTAGAGAGCAGAAGCATCTGACATGCCTACACCAACAGGGAGTCGCTGGGAACACAACAGGTTAATCTGAAAATAGTAATTCATATAGAGAAGGTCTTTTCCAATTCAGTACGGTAAGTCCTCACTTAACACTATCGTTTAGTCCGACTTTAAGATAAATGACATGTAATGGAACAAAATTGACCATAAATAAGGGTTAAATAACCCTTGGTTTTGGTCACAAAAACATCTCTAACCTTATAAATAAAGCCCAAAGTTGCTGCTAATATTAAAAAATCATTCCTATCATTCATTTGGAAAATCCACCCCAGTTCAGGGTGATGGGTGGCCAGATGCTATCCTGGCAGCTGAGGGAACAAAGCATGTGCCAACCTTGGACAGGAGAACCTTCCATTTCATGGCACCTTCAGACACACCCCTACCCCCTCCCCCACTCACTGGGACATGGAGATAAGTCAGGGAACCTCACCTGCACATCTTTGGGATGTAGGAGCAAGCCAGAGTCCCTACAGAAAATCTATGCAGTGTGGGGGATGTGCAAACTGCATACAGATACAGGAATCCAATATTTTTCTCATCAACTTTATAACAAAACACAGTTTAAGAAACTGTGGTATTTACCAGAGACATTTTGTGGGGGTGGAGTGGGGAATGGGATCAAAAAGGGGGGGGAGGGAGGAGAGTGCATGAGACTATGGTGATGACACATGGGTGACTTGGTGATGGGGGAAACCCACGGGGATACAATTGAGATGAAAAAAAAAAGTGTACAAAATGATGTAAAAATAAACTATTATATTATTTAAAAAAGAATTAAAAATTAGCTACACTGCTAAAAAAAAAAGAAAGAAAGAAAGAAAAAGAAACAGTGGTATCTAAAGACCTGCTGTAGCTGACAAAGGAAAGACGTCAGAAGTAAGACCTAAAAGGGCTGCAGAAGTGTAGACCCCAGGATCTCTTGAACTGAGTCCCAAGGCTCTCTTCTAGGACAGTTCCACACTGAGGAGAAACTGCTTGAAGTAGGATAACAATGTACCAGGGCTGAAGCGATAGAGCCAAAGCTAGAGGCTATGTGGATAAAAACGGAGAAGGGGAACCGCCTAGGAAATCAGAGTTATGGTATGTTCATTCATTCTCTCTCTCTTCCCCTCTTCCTCCCCTTCTTTCCCCACCTTGAAACATTACACAAAAACAGCAGAGGGAGCTAAAGTTTAGAAAAGGATGTCTTTTCGAAACCAAGGAAAGCATTTTCCAGAAGAAATGAAGATGGAAGGGTGGGGGTGGGGGGAGCAAAGTGGCAAAGGGACCCAATGGACTGTGGTGGAGGATTAATGGGGTTTGGGTGTGTTTCCGGTGTAATAATATGCATTTGAAGAGAGGTGAACCTGTATCCCTAAAGCAAAGTGTTGTAAAAATAACTGAATTTTCTTAAAGGAAAATGATTGGGGGGTACCAATAATAGGAAGAAGAGGGGGGAAATTTTTTGAGAACGAAATGTTTCCCATCACAGTGGTCTCTAAAGCACATTCTCCACCTATGCAACATGCTAGTTGGTATCTTGGCGTAACTGTTACTTCTTGGCATGAACAGCACACAGGTTGGTGTCTTCAAAAAGGCCAACCAGGTAGGCCTCCCTTGCAAAGCACCCACAGCTGCGCTCTGAAAGGGCCGATCTGTTTTGAAGGCCTGAGCAATCTCAGGGAAGGGAAGTTTGCTAATCAGAAGTTCAGTTGACTTCTGACAAACATCTGATTTCACCGAGTGTCGCTGTGCCAGGCCTGGGACGATGTGGTTTCTTCGCCGTCCAGTAGAGGGCGTACGCTCTCCACGGCTTTCTAGCCAGTCGCTTCCTCCATGCTTCGTTGACCGCGGGTCCACTCGCGGGCAGTCGGCTGTGCACAAGCCACGGTGCTACACGAGACCTTACGTACCCCCCGTTTTTCGTGTGGAGCTCGGCTAGCCAAAGGCGCCCTTGGCGTTAAAGAGCAACGGCGGCGGCAACTGCGAACGCCAAGCCGTGGTTTTTATCAATGAGGTCGGATAACACCTGCCATGTAGGGCTGCTGTGAGAAGCAGGCCGGGTTTATTGTTAGTTTCGGTAATTTTTGATAATGACACAAACGGACTCGAAAATTCCCACCTCCTTGCTCTGGGTCAGTCTTGAAATGCCGCCTTCTCCCCAACATCCCCTTCCGCCCCGCTCTCCCCTTTCTCCATCTTTGAATCTGTGCGTCAGAACCCGCTGACGCAATCCAGATTGCTGAGACGTGAATTCTGGTGCCTGGGTCTGGGTCCGGGATGACGTTACACCGGCTATGACCTTACCTACATGGCTGCTGGAAGTGGCTCGCAGGAAGAAGGAAGGTGCGGCGCGCGGGATCACTTCCGCTTCCGCTGGCGCAAGCGCTTTCGCTTCTGCGGCTACCGTGACTAAGATGGAACCGATTTTGGAGCCGCGGTTCGGACACTGGGCTGGGGGTCCCGCCCCAGGGCAGTTTTACCGTATTCCGCCCACGCCCGGCCCCTTCGCCGACCCGGCGTCTGCGCTCTACGGGGGCCCGATCACGCACACGCAGTAAGCTCTCGGCGCCAGCATGGTGCGGGACCCAGGCCCGGCGCTGCCCGCCGGTTCTCATAGCCGGGAGGGCGCGGCGGGGAGCGGGGCGCGCGGGCGGCGTGGTTGCGCTTGGCACATCTGGAGCATGCCAAGTCGTTGATAGGAGCCTCTGAAAACCACAAGAGCCACCCTGGGCGGGAAGAGGGCTCTGGCGCTTCTCCGCGTTGCTCCACGCCAGACCCCTCTCTCTCCTTCCAGGAACCCCATGGTGACCGGGACCTCGGTCATTGGTATTAAGTTTGAGGGCGGAGTGGTGATAGCAGCAGACATGCTGGGCTCGTACGGCTCGTTGGCTCGTTTCCGCAACATCTCCCGCATCATGCGAGTCAACAACAGCACCATGCTAGGTGCTTCCGGAGACTACGCTGATTTCCAGTATTTGAAGCAAGTTCTCGGCCAGATGGTGTAAGTCACCGAGAGGGTACGGAGTAGTAAACCCAAGTGTGTTTCCTTGGTTTTCCTTTTTTTTTTTTTTTTTCATCTCCTTTGAAGTGGGGGAGGAATTTGAGGCTGCAGTAGGGGGGCAGGGAGAGGGAATGGAAGATGTGGTGGAGTCGTTTAGGGTGTTAGGACGTGTAAAATGAGAAAGCTTGTGATGACTTCTTTTCTGGGTGGATAGAAATCCCGACTTGCATTTTCATTCACACATCGATTACTAGGATTGATGAGGAGCTTTTGGGAGATGGACACAGCTATAGTCCTAAAGCCATTCATTCGTGGCTGACTAGAGCCATGTACAGCCGGCGCTCCAAGATGAACCCCCTGTGGAACACCATGGTCATCGGAGGCTATGCTGATGGAGAGAGGTTGGTTGGAATACAAGTTAACTTGCTACTTTGACCACCCACACCTCTCAGATGCCATGGTCCCGTCCTTCGGCTAACAGAGAAACGTAAGATGAAATGATTTCTTTTATTGATATTTTGTCCTTTTAGCTTCCTCGGTTATGTGGACATGCTTGGTGTAGCCTATGAAGCTCCTTCCTTGGCCACTGGTTTTGGTGCATACTTGGCTCAGGTAAGTAATTGAAAGGTGGGAAAGGTTCTGGCAAAAGTCAATGAGGGGTAATGGTTGTCTGCTTGTTCTTCCCTTGAAATTCTGGCATGAAATTAATATCCCAACTTCTGGGAAGATTGTAACCCAGAGGCTGTTATTGTCAAATTCACATTCCATTGACAAGGTGGTATACCTTGAAGTCAGTAAGACTTGTGCAGAGAGGACATCTTAGAACTTAGCTTTCAAGTGGGTCATAACACAGGTAAGTAGAGTTCCTTCTAAGTGGCAACAGATGAAATATCTTTTTTATTCATTCATGTGTTTACAGTGAGACAAATGGTTTTGCTCTTGCCTGATTTTCTCTCATGTCTGTCCTGTTCCCCACTTCTCCACCTCATCCTTTCAATCTCCCTAGCCCCTGCTGAGAGAAGTTCTGGAGAAGCAGCCAGTGCTGAGCCAGACTGAGGCCCGGGAGCTAGTGGAACGTTGCATGCGGGTGCTGTACTACAGAGATGCCCGTTCTTATAACCGGGTGAGGAGGGGGGTGAATAATGGGAATCTTAACTGGTAGATTCTGGAAACCTGGGGTCTCTGGGCCTGATTTGAAGAATAGGTGGACCCATCTGTCTCCTTTTCTCAGAATAGTGTCCCCTTGACCTACTCTAAGGATTTCCTTATGCAATTCTTTCAGTTTCAAATTGCCACTGTAACCGAAAAAGGTGTTGAAATAGAGGGACCGCTGTCTGCAGAGACCAACTGGAATATTGCCCACATGATCAGGTTATTGAAATTCACACTAAAGTTTTAAAAATTACATTTAAGAATTGGGAGGCCCGCTTGCTGACGGGCATCAAACGGTTTTTTCTGGAGGTTTGAGTTTCAAAAGCTCTGGGTAGAGGTGGTTTGGGCTGAGGTGGTTTGGGCTGGAGGGTAGTTGCTGTTAGAAATTGATTTCTCTCCCTGCATCTTCATGATTTTATTATGTACTCTTCCTTTCTAGTGGCTTTGAGTGAAATACAGATGCATTCTCCAGAACTGAAGTTTTACCCTTCTGCTACTTTTGAATGTTGATGGTTCAGAGGTAGACTTAACTTTTGTAAAATAAACTCTTTGAAATACTTGCTGAGTAGTGTATTACATCTGATTAGGTCACATCAAAAGGACAGTACGAAGTACTACCACATACCATCTCCCTCCCCAGCCACAGAACCTTGAAGCACTTGGTTCATTAGACAAATGTAGACTCCTCTGCAGACTACTACAGAAAACCCAAAACTGTCTTCATTAGGACCTGTACTAAAGGTAGGCTTAATCCCTGTGTGGTAATATAACTGGCTTTGTGTGTTAACTTTTTTCCAACATTTCCATCCATGTGCTAGATTCTAAAATACAAAAGTTTTGGTTAACATTGACTATAAATGTGATTACTAGTTAAAACATGATTTCAGAGAGAAATGTAGCATGTAATGGATCTACTCTTTATTAGGTTACTCCCAAACTCTGAACTATCAATCCCTCATCTACACCTCACTCCCTTCATAAAAGGAATACTGTGATTTCAACATTTAATCTAAATGTTCACTACCTAAATCTACTAATTTTAGCACTATCAGGAAACTTCTTACAAGAACTGTGTTTATTAAAAACCCTAAGTTGGGCCCTCCCTGGTGGCACAGCTGGTTAAAGCACAGCACTGAGAAACTAAAGCCACTTCCGCATGAGTTCGATTCCCGCCGGCCCCGGAGGTGACCACATGGCGCGGCAGACCACTCCTGACCCGCCCGCTGCTCCCCTCAGCAGTGTACTTCGTCCATCTGCCTGTTCTGCTCCCCACTCTGTCTCTGGTGAAGTCTCTCGCCGCCCCTGAGCCTCTGGCCTG